AGCGCGCCGCCGCACTCCGCGCGCACGCTCAGGCACGACCGCGTCGCGTCCTGACAACCACACAGTCACTTGCTGCTGTCACTTTACCCTCAAAGACTGACTGATTTATACATCACTTTTTTTTACTTACCCAATAGACTAATTTCAAAAAAAATTTTCTTCAATCTATGTTCAATATACTACCCATTTTATGGTATTTAAACATAAAATCGTGCATTTAAGGGTTAACACTCCCTTAAGAACAATAGAGTGCAATATTACAATCACACAGACAGTGGAAGCTACTCCGCGTACATTCTGATGAGTGTGCATGCTGGAGACCAAATTTAAGTCTTTTCCCCTTTCCATTTTATAATAAGGAAAGGATGAAAATATTATATACGCATAAGGGAAAATATTATTACGCGCTTCTCCTCCGCCGATATAACGATTTGTGGATGTTAACAGCAGTGTTCGTTTCGCTTTTTCGGCGATTTAAATGGCCGCTTGCTTATTCGCCAGCTTCTAAAATAAACGAGCGAGTACCATGGCCTCGTTGAGCATGCCGAGGTGCATGTACTGCAGCGCGAGGTGGTAGAGCGCGAGGTGGTCGTTGTCGTCGAGGCGCGCCGCCTGCACCAGGTGCCGCAGGCTGGCCTCGCTCGCCGCCTCCTTGTCTATGCGTCCGTTTAGTTTCTGAAAAAACAACATCCTATAGCGTTCCCTGCAGCAGTGGGCGGGGCGGGGGCGGGGCGGGGGCGGGGCTAGGGAAGGGGGAGGAGCTCACCTGCGCACGCATCTGGTGTCCGATGCCGACGTAGAGGTGGCAGCGCGCCAGCACGGGCCCGTTCTTCTCCGTCTCTATCGCCAGCGCCTCCTCTGCCATCTCTATACCTTCCTCTATCTATGGACAATTTTCATTGCACTTAAACTTTCGTCAATATTAACAACTATAAGGTTTAATTTATATGACTTTGACTTTTCAGTAACAATCACTATATTAATAGTGCTGAGTATTGTAAAAAACTCAATCTGTTAGTGAATTTATTTATTTATTTTTTAAATTTTGCTATTTCATTCTGTTATTCCCATTTTGCAATAGATGGCGTTATATATAGTAGAAACCCGATAACTTAAAAATCTCTATAACTTCAAAAAATAATATGTTCCCTTCCCATCAGAGCCCAAAACCTACAGCATAGACCCTTGATAACTTAAAACCTCTATAACTTAAAGTATTTTGTGTTTCTTTTGAGACTTGAACTTATCGAGATTCTATTGTGTATGGCAAATGTTTGTTTGTGCGGTACCGACCCAGCCGGCGCGGTAGCAGTTGGCGGCGGCCAGCAGGCGCAGCGGCGCGTCCTGCGCGCACAGCAGCGCCGCGCGCCGCGACACGCACAGCGCGCGCACGTGCGCACTGTGCGCGCCGCTGCCTGCACACACACACACAGCTATTATCTCCTACCTCAATAACGCTAAGAAAATTAGTACCGGGCTGGAGAATTAGCGTAACACTGGATTTTTGGCATAAACATCACATATCTGACAGCTGTCAATGACATTAGACGAATTGGATATTCGCGCGCATTCCTGGCGAGATGTCTAGTTGATTATTTAATACCTAAATGCATGTTGGAGCATTTATACAACAGTCTTCTTTTCCATACGCAATAGACTATTTTAAAAAAATCTTTATGTTCCCTTGATCTATGTTCAACTAACTACCCGTTTTAATTTAGAGTATTTTAAAAAAATCATGCATTTAACGGTTAAATTAAAATCGTTAGTTAAAATTATACTAATTGTTTTAA